CTTCACACATGCAGATCCCTCTGGATGTGCCTCAGTTGTAGAGCAGCTTCAGCCTCAGGCGAGCGGCTGTGTGCAGCAGGAGTTCCTGAAAGGGCCGCAGTGAAATGTGTCCTCCGTCATGGTCACAGCTTTAAAGAAAGGTCCCTGTGATATTTCACTGTGGAAAACTTATTACGGAGCTCCTTAGCATGGGATAATTGGAAAATGAAAAGACGAACAGACTCTGACTGTCGGGGAACAGGGAGGTCTGTTCATTAAGTCAGACATCTGCCGTCTCCCATCCCGACCCCCTAACCCTAACCCTAACCCTAACCCTAACCCTAACCACTTCAGGGTTCAGTTTCCTCTGAAGGGACCCCACCAACCACGTCCCGTTTCCCCCTCAGGAAGATCTACTGGACGGACTGGGGGAACACGCCCCGCATCGAGTACGCCAACATGGACGGCTCGCACCGGCGGGTGATCGCAGACACACACCTGTTCTGGCCCAACGGCCTGACCATCGACTACGCCGGCCGCCGCATGTACTGGGTGGACGCCAAGCACCACGTCATCGAGAAGGCCGACCTGGACGGACGCAACCGCAAGGCCGTCATCAGCCAAGGTACAGCCTCTCATCGTTCAATTTGCTCAACCTGAAAGAGAGAGAGAGGGACATTTGCCCAGAGCTCTGGGTCAGACCTCAGTAAGATGTCCAGAGGGTTATTTCCTTTTCCTCTTTCTTCCCTCTTTTCTCTTTATTTAGACTATCAGTAGGTTGAACTTTTTGGGTTAGGGTTAGGGTTAGGGTGCAAATAGCAGGTGAAAAAGGTTCAAATGTGAACAAGAAATACTAATAAACTACTGTTATCATAATTCTAAATATCCGATGAAATTCCAAATTGAAATACATAAAGTGTAAATATCGAGTTTATAAGCCAAAGAGTACATTATATTTCTGTAGAAAAGTGCACCACAACTATCAATCTAAAAAGGAGCATTAACAAGAAACCTCGTCAGTGTCAAGAGATTTTTGAAAGATGGAGATGAAAAATACTTTGTGGAGAGTTCACATCCTGTTTAGTTCATAAACTTTTTCGTATTAATCTGCATCATATTCTGTCCCTCTCATAAGTGCTTCAGAATAGGCCTCAGATTGTTTTACATAAGCCCTGTAGCCATGTCTGTCTGTGGAAGTCGGAAAGGGTTCTGGGTTGTTTTCTCTAAGGTTTGGTGGTTTCCTTTTCACGAGCCATAGAAGCTCAACATTTGTATCCTTGTTTTACTTGCTGCGGGCCCTCAAATTCAGCTTTGAGTCACTTAAAAATACTTTTTTTCCCCTGTGTGAATGTGTCTTGTCCAATTTAGTTAGATTTAAGTCTGTGAATTTAGTCATAAAGAAGTTTTGCTATTTGCTCCATCCTGTAAGCTAGATTTAATGTATTCTTAATGTAATTTCTGTTTGGAAAAGCACTTTAAACCCAAACCTTTGGGTAGTTTATCCAATAAGATCAGAGGGAGGGGGGGAGTAACGGAAATGGCGCGGTGTGCAGAGTTCTGACTGCAGGTCAGGTTCTTGTTTGAGATTTTGGTGAATTATCGCACTGACTCACTGAGGAAATGAAATCCACAAGCTGACAGATGATACAGATACACAATGACCCCCCCCATAGAGCCATGTGGAGTTAATCAGGGCCCACATTCATACACATAAACAGAAGTCAGAAATGGCATCAAAAAGATGAATGCATGCTTCATGCTCCCGGTTCCTATAGAAAAGTCTTCATGCACATGAGCTGTAAAAACCGGGATCTGGAGTTTGGAAATGTGAGCAGGCGTACACATGAAAACGGGGCCAGCTTCTGAGACGCATCCCTGCTGTGTTTGTGCTCTCCGTGTTTCTCAGTCTGCAAACTAGCAGCACCCTGGGATCACGTCGGCTTTAACCCAGCAGTCAGACTCAGACTGCAGAGGCACTAAACCGGATTGTCATGTTCGTTTTCAAAGGAGAGCGACGCTTTTCGAAAATGCAACATTCATACAGACATTTCATTTGAGTGTTCAAATGAATACAGACATTTCTCCAACTTCAGATCAACAGAGTGCAATGAATCCTTTTTAACTTCTGCTGCTGGCTGGTAAGACACACAGCGAGATCCTCTCATTGGTTAAATAAAAACTCTTAGAACACTTTGTAGAAAAGAAATCACAATGTTTTCCTAAAGTTATTCAAACAAAGCTTTGGTTTATCAGCAGTAGCTAAGCTTGCAGGTCTCACATGACATTCTTTTTCAGTCAGCACATCCATCCAGCTACCAAAGCAAATCAAGAGATGCCCAAATTGCTTTTTATTTTTATCTTCATCTCATGATAAAATGCAAATAATCTGGGGGCACATCAGTGACCATTAAGGCTGTTAAAGTTCACAAATAGGTGCATGGCAGTGTTTGCTTAGTTGCGCGTGCGCGCCATGGCTCCGGTGAGCCCTTAATGATGTGTGCTCTGAGGATAAAGGCCGTAATTGGCCCTGTCCGTCCTCCACAGCCTGTGTTTGCTCACACAACACAGGACAAATGGGACATTCGTGTGTGTGTCCACGAACGTGTGTGTGTGTGTGTGTGTGTGGCGCTGCACTTTGTGCCGCTGCGCCCAGGAATGTTAACAAGCATTTATCTTCCATCACCTATAGTTCTGCATCCGGATGTGTGTGTGTGTCTGTGTGTGTGCGTGTGTGTGTGTGTGTGTGTGCGTGTGTGTGTATCTGTTTGTGTGTGTGTGTATGTGTGTTTTTGTGTGTGTGTGTGTGTGTGTATGTGTGTGTTTTTGTGTGTGTGTGTGTGTGT